CAAAGAAATCATTAGGTGCATACCCCCCACCCCGGGGCAGTACAGGGTTGTTTGCTAGTCATTTTCTGGGAGGTTTACCTTACATGCATGCCTGATCGAGGAAAGCGGCGACTGAAACTTTTAATCTCCTGTTGTATACGGGAATCCTGACAGGTACGCCATCAATTATTACTCATGTCCAGCGTAGATCATGGAGATTCGTTAACTGAAAATGTTAAGACTTTTTCCCTTTTATTTTAATTGAAATGTCTATTCCTTTAAATATGATAAACTCTTCTAATTTGATAAAAAATCAACTTAATAATAATGTTTTTTTTTTTTTTTGCTATATTACCCATCATGAAGCACGATAAAGAAAGCAGGTTATTGAATTAGAAGTTTTGATAGCGCCTCTTTTTGTCGAGCAAAAAGACTTCAATGCCAAACGGTACAGGTGTGCGCCACCCAATGCGGAGTGAAAGTAAGTGTGAAGATTTATGGATTCATATTTAATGGCTTTCAATTCGCATCTATGAAGGAAGTTAATAATTTCCGAGAATTCTCATCTCTTTCCTTCTATTATTGTGATTTTACTTCACCCTTGAGATGAAGATGAAATGCCAAAGGACCACCTTGTCATCAGTCAGGACCTCATAACATAAGCAAAATCAATGCAGCATTTATTACGCTGAAAGAAACATCTTGCGCTGACCAATGTCTTACATCATCCTCCAATTCCTTCTAATCGCATTCTTCTTCTTCTTCTGCCTTTTTTTTTTCTTAGGATGAAAGATCAAAGTATGGTTTTTTTTTTTTTTTTTATTTGTGAGAGTGTACAAAAGTACGCGAAACAGTGCTCATTGTGATTTGACAAATATTCAATTTAACTCTCTCAAATTTGAAAACCTACGCTATAATTCCCTGTGATTTTGACTAAATTAAAATTTGAATAGAAAACATCAAATCTAACGATTGGGTGTAAAATATCAATATTGCTCCTATAAAAATGAACTTCCTATAGTTTGTCGAATATTTAATTTAACTTCCTCTGGTTTAAAAAATTACATTATGACTCCTTATGGTTTCGACTAAATTAAAAATTGAATGGAAGGCATCTCAAACTCCCTATAACGTCTAATTTAACTCTCTCTGGTTTAAAAAATTACATTATGACTCCTTACGGTTTCGACTAAATTAAAAATTGAATGAAAAGCATCTCACGTATAGTAGGGGCAATATTGACATTTTACACAAATCGTTAGATTGGATGCTTTCCATCCAATTTTCAACTTAGTTAAAATTATATGGAATTATAGTGTAGGTTTTCAACCCAAAGGGAGTTAAATTGAACATTTAACAAATCACAAGAATTTTTTTTTTGTATTTTACCATTTTTAATAATAGTTGCTCGATAGACACTTGTTAAAACATCTAAATCATGATTTTTTTAAGTGGGAGGGCTTGAATACGTGATCTCTCATTTACACCCTCTTATTCGAACCATCAAACTCATCCCTTTATCCATCTAATTGGTTGATGTGTATTAGAGGAACTTACTAAATAATAGGGTTAAATTGAAGCAATAATAATAAGGACCACAAATATGAACATGTGCATTTTCTACATAACACTATAGGGGAAGTCCGCCCTAAGCGTGAGAGTTTTAACCTGTATGATGAAATATTTATTCAGATAAAATTATAAAAGAGATAGTAATTTTAGAACTGCATAGTAATAGGTTTAATTGAATCAATTGAAGTGCATGAAATTATAAGTAAATTGGTCAAATCCACAATATTATAAAGGAAAACAAATTTATAAGCGAATGAAATATGACTGTAATAAATACTCATACCATTATAAAACAACAACTATAGCAAAAACATCATTACCTTTGTTACTCTACCATTATAACACAATCATGGTCATATCCAATCAACAATTAATATGTATAGACTATAAGGTCAGATTTGGGTTTTATATTAATCATGAAATTGCAGTCAGCAAATAATCTATTTTTACTCACAGTTTAACCACTTGCGCCCACGAACTTCATATTTTGAAAATATAGTTAGAAAATATAAGAAAGTTCTTATGAATATTTGTATGCATATATTATGTATCCCATAATGAAAATTTCACAATCATATAATAATTACTGACAAAATATTAGGGGTAGAAAACTCACAATTTTTATTATATCAACTAAATATCAAAAAATGCAAAAAAGGGATCAAGTAAATAAGCATACCTGTCAAATGGCCATAACAAAACATGGAGCACAAGCACTATTGTCAAGAAGCTCAGGAGCACTACAATTAATTTTGTAACGGGTTGAAAATATGAATCAGAACTAATCATATTCATTATTAATACCTTCCCAAACCAATCATCTTTAGCATTAAGACTCTCTTTTATTGAAACTATAAAAATTGCCTAACAATTATAGAAGAAGACGAAGAGCATTGTAATTACACTTGTGAGTGGCATAAATATCACTTAAAAGCTTGATAATCATGTGAAATATAAATCGATTGTATATGGGAGGACATAATAGTCAAATCCTACTAAACTATACACTGCGATGTTATATAATGTTTGGTTTAATCACTTGCATTTGATTTTTTCCCTGCCTAAAAAATATATATGGATTTGACTATTATGTCCTCTCTAAATATGTATATATATATACACACACATACATAGGAAACCGTGTATGCCTAACATTTACTTTGATGTTTTTATATGTATGATTTTTTATTTTGTCTAACATTCTTTCCTTCCGCTTTACGTCATTAAACACGCATAAATTAGTATTTCATACGCATGGTGAAAATCACAATCCCCGTATACTTCCTTATAAATCAAACGCAGTACCATATCGTTTGATGCTTTCTTAAAATTGTACTTAATTTCTTTGACGAAAACTATAGACAAAGTGATGTTCCCCTGCATAAATAATAAAAATATTTTGAATATGTGCTTAAAATTCGTATGTCATTCAGCGTTTTTTTTTTAATTTTTAAAAAAGACACTTGATTCTAAAACATTGATATTTGTTATTTTCAACAACAAATTTTTAATAGTTGATGGAAATATAACGTGGTTTTGAGGATAGATTTTTTTTGGTTTTAGGGCCCATTTGATAATCTGGAGTCTGAAATTTGAATTCAAAATTTGAAAATTAAGTGTTGAAAAATTTAAGTTGTTGAATTGATTAAATTATATATATATTTGATAACTAATTGAATTACAATATTGAACAATATGTTTTTGTCTTTAAAAATAATTTCCTATATTTGTGTATTTGGAGAGAGAAAAAATGTGTATATGTGTGTGTGAGGGAGAGAAAAATGAAACAATTTAGAGGTAGTGTATTAAGTTTGTGTACTTGTGTGTGTGAGTGCGTGTGCACGTGCATATGTGTCAAACAAAAGGAGAACAAAAATGCACGAAAATGTGTTATATGTGTGAGAAGTGTAGTACGTGTCGTCAATTCAGAAAATTCAGTGCGAAAATTTCACATAAAATTTTCTACACAAATTAAATAGTGCTTAATAGATTAAGTGGTAAGACTTTTTTTTATAGTGAAATTATAGACATTTCTATTATTAAACACGTTGAATTCAAAAAGTTCTGAATAAAATAATTTTTAGTATTAATTAAAATTATGAAATAGGCCCCTAGTGTTTTCCTTAGGAACCGCAACTACTCTTTGCGAGTTTAGACTTTGGTGGAGCACTTGTTGGGAGACTTCGAATTCATATTTTTGGCTTGATGCCAATTGTAGGCAGGCACACTGGGAATTGGAGCAAATAAACTATAGTTACTCTATAGGGCCGAATATTATGTGAGTTACAAGGTGTTATTAATTCGTCTCCTTCACTGTTATACCAGTGGATTATTTAACACTTGAAGTTACATAAGACTATCCACTGTTCTACCTTTTTTTTTTTTTTTTTTTTTTTTTCTGGGATGGAAGTTGTAGCGTTTTTTTTTTTGTCAACACAGGGGTGTCCGGGTCAATTCTTACGGGGCTCAACTAATCCCCTGCGGTCCGGGAGGGAAGGCCCCACTCCACACCGAGCACGTTAACAACGGGACTAGAACCCTAGACAAGCCAAGAAGGTCGTCATAGCCTAAGGAGAGGGAGCGGATAGCTCGAATTATTCCGTGAGGGCAGAAGACTAGCCACTTAAAGTGACAAGTTTGTGGGAGGCAGGGGTTGAATTCATGACCTTCAGCATCACCAAAGACGGTGATGACCACTGGACCATGTAGCTTGATTCCCTATGCTTTTAGGAATGAAAGTAAAACTACTATGTTATAATTTGTCCTTTCATTTTCATAGAGTGATTGTGATTTATTGCAAAAAAATATTTATTTTTTTTGTGAACACATTTTCCAATCATCGTTTTACCTTACATACATCTAATCGTTACAGTACATTTTTTAACAAAACTCCTAAAAATAGTAATTCAAACGAGCCAGTGTTTAGATCTTATTCGCATAGTACAGGAACAGGGTTCGAGTTGGATCTAATATTAAATGAGTTACAAATATTACTTATATTGCTTAAATTTGATTTGTTAATTTGTATAGATATGTGAGTTTGAATTCGAAGTCAACTTGTTAAACTAAACAAGTCTCGAACTCGAGTTTAAAAATGATTAAATTTGATTTTATACAAATAATACACAAATTAGAATAAATTTAATTATATTCTTTGTTTTAGAAAATAAATAATACTATTTTTATGTATAATTACTTTTTTTTAAGGAAATACAAGGTATATATACATATATTTAATAATATTAAATATATTTATATTTGTATTTACTTACTTTTTATAATTAAATATTTGTCGATGAATCTATTTAAATTGTTCGTGAATAGGTTCACGATGGCTTAATTCTAATATTGTGGTGGAATTCGATTCGTTTGTTTATTATACGATCAGGATCAAAATCGTTCTTCAAACAGTTAAGGTTCGTTAAAAGCTCTGCTGAGATGGGATGGGGCGCTAATTTCGTATTTTCATAATATCAGGGGCCTAAACGTAATTATGGACACGGTCTCTAATCCAATGGATCGAGCATGTATAAGATGCATTGGAAGACAGAGCAGCGTTAGCGTAATTTTGCTGCTATCAAATTCAAATTCAAACAGAGAAGAAGAGGAGAAGAGAAGACAAAGGGACAGAGCATCCACCACAAGAACAACATCATCATCATCGATCATGCAGATCTTTGTGAAAACCCTAACCGGGAAAACCATCACCCTCGAAGTTGAGAGCAGCGACACCATAGACAATGTCAAGGCCAAGATTCAGGTCCAATCTCTATACCTATTCCTATCCCCGACTTATTATCAACCTAATAGTTTTGTAGTGGAGTATTTGCTTTGTTTATAACTACAAATTCTTATATATTATCACTTTTTTTGCTACTTAAAGTGTCCACTGTTGCTCTTAGTTAAACTCGGATGTGATTTTTGTACATCTTGTTGTGGAATCTGATAAGTAATTTTGTCAAGAGTAAAGGTTTTGTTAGTGTTTCTTAAAATAAAAAAAAGGAGATGCTGTTCTGCTGTTTTTAATTGGACTAGGGTTTTCGAGAGTGATAAACTAACTTATTGGATGACTGTAATGGACCTTAAATTTGAATCAGTTTATATTGTGTCAACACCGAGAATTAGTAGGACAAGCCGCTTTGAGATTGATTTTACCAGTTGTCACACCAATTTCATTTTATAAATTGGTTTTATCAGTTCCTTCAGCTGCATGGATTATCGACCTGGGAACTCGTAGCAAATACATTGTTCTAAGCGACAAAATCATACTGGGTTTGTCCTTTTAACATAGGCTATTATTTCAATGAAGGCTGCCCTTATTAATCGGTTCTTTCCTTGTGCAACATAACATTCTGCATGTTGGGTTTTATCTTTAAATGCTGTGATTGGTCTGGTTCTTCTTCTTATATTTGTTTTTGCAAGTCAAAATTGAATGCAATATACATTTGTCTTTGAACTACATACCATTTGGTAAGGTGCTTTTCTTTTGGTAAAGCTAATGCTATCTGACCCAATCCTTTTTATGCACTATAATAAATATAGTTATGAGCTTGGATCACTTGAAATCACTGGCTTTTAGTCTATATGATGCTATATGGTTTCACTCTTGGAAATTTGACTGTTTATGGTTTCTATTTCGTTGTTGGACTGGTATATATTTGTCATGTTGATGACACAGGAGTTGTGATTGGATTACCTTTGGGTTTTGGATATTTATTATACCATTTCATTGGTTGTAGACTGGACATTTTAATATCAATACTACGAGTAACTAGTTTTAGTGATGTTTCCCTTCTAGTGTTTCGTGCTAGTTGGTGCGTCAAAGAACAAACAGGCTGTAAATCTTTGGTATTGGATGGCATTCAGTGTAATGAAATGTGTGCGACAACGTTTAGTTGGGTAATTCAGAAATCGACAGTGCTGTTCAAAATTTGATTTCTTTTTTAGGAAATCTAACGACATGATTGGCATCCTTGAGAATCAGAGGTGTCAAAATGGGCGACTCGAACGGGTTTGGACTAGTCATAATTGGGTAATAGGTATAATTGGGTCAACCTATCTATATCAATTTAAATAAATGGATATAAATGGATATCCATTTATGCCTATTTAATAAATGAGTATGAATACACCCAATTATCCATTTATGAGTCACTTAAATTCTATTTATTTATTTGTTATTTTTTGGCATGTTGTTTGAAAAGAAATAACGGTGTTTTATTGTTATTAAATTGGTAAGAAATTCAAATTTATTTGCTTAAGGCTTACTAAAAGTTGGGTGCAAATGTATAATTATTTTTAAATGGGTATATAAATGGATGAGCTGAGTCAACTCACTATCTACTAGTTAAATGGGTTTAATTGGGTATCTATTTAGACCCATTCAAAATTAATGGGATAGTTAAGTCTGAGTAACTTGTTGCATATTGGTGTTATTGTCATATGAATTTGCATGCTATCAGGATGGCGACTTACTATCCATATCTGCTTCCTCTTTCAAATCCTTCTGCAGACTTTTCTTCTTGGTGATGAGCACTTAATTTCTATCGTTTCATCATAGAATGTCCACTGGAGTGCATTGGGACAAAGAGAAATGCTTTAGGGTGTTATTTTCACTTGCCTCTCTGCTTTGCTATGCTGCTTTCCTTCTATTGGATACTTTTGTATGGGGATGTAGTTCTGTTCACAAAAAGTACGCTGGAGTACTTTGATTCTAATATAGAGTCTAATGATTTAACTTGGACCACTTAATTTTCTGTTGTATAAGTGATTATATGTTTACTTTTCCTTTCGGGAGTTAATTTGCTTCTAATGCTGAGAGTTTATTCTTCTTTTTTGGTACTTCCAACGATTTTACTTGGACCACTTAATTTTCTGTTATGTGTGTGAATATATGTTTAATTTTCCTTTGTGATGTGCTGTGTTTCTAATGCTAAGAGTTTATTCTTCTCTTCTGGTACTTTGAAGTTATGCTTTGTAAATGAGACTAACAAGATGATTTTAATGGTATCAGGACAAAGAAGGTATTCCACCTGACCAGCAGAGACTGATATTTGCTGGCAAGCAGTTGGAAGATGGCCGTACTTTGGCTGATTACAATATTCAGAAAGAATCAACACTTCATTTGGTTTTGAGACTAAGAGGAGGAACAATGATCAAGGTCAAGACTCTTACTGGAAAGGAAATTGAAATTGACATTGAACCAACAGATACAATTGATCGGATCAAGGAACGGGTGGAGGAGAAAGAAGGAATTCCCCCTGTGCAGCAAAGGTTTGGAATTGCTGTAATCTGAATAGAGTGGATGTTCTAGTGTTTTCTATCTCAGTCTTCTAATTTCTTACAGAAATTTTGTTCAGATGCTTCTGAGATCTTCTTGTTAATTTCATATATTACTTGCTTCCTAAGTTATTTTTGTTGTGAACTTGTCATGATAGTACCAAGAAACTGTAGGTTAGGGCAAGTCTTGAAGTTGACGGATGCAGTAATATCTTTAGTTTTCATGAAAAAACATCTACGTGTAGAAACCATACCCTATGAGGATGGGCAATGAAAATGGAAAAAACGTTGTGGACAAAGACGAAGTGAATATGGCTGCTAAAGTCTTAGATGTTGGTGTTGATATCTTGAGGAAAAATTAGTGGCCGGGGGGGTCAGATTTTGCTGCTCTACAGTTTGAAAATGCTCTGAAAGCATGCATCATCCAATTCTTCTTGTTGCTGACAAATATCTTTTTTTTTTTTTACCCCTTCAACTCGAATCAGAAGAAGTCAGTCAGGGAACAAGAGCACGCCTTTCCATTTCTCTGTTTTCGCGGAGCTGCAAAATCATAGGAGCTACAGTGTTACTAGTAATTGTTTCTGGACCGCTACTTACTCTTTGATGATCCCTAAAATGTTATGACCGGTAGCTGTGGACCATAGCTACAACACAGGAGCAGTTCTTTTTAACTCGAAAGAACCACAGAATTATTAGTAGCATGCTTAGTTTCCCAGTTAAAGAAGAAAAAAAGACTAATCAAGAAAATCCAATGATGAAATGGTGGCCAATAGTTTACTGTCATATTTCCACTTTTATTCTACACGTGGAGTAACATGATGGCGTATTTGGTAAGAAGCAAAAACAAGATATGAGGGTTTTTGAGCCCAAAAAAGAAAAAAGAAAAAGAAGTGAGGCGTTTTTTTTTTTGGGTTTTCGGGACGCTTCGTTTCTTTTTTCATCATTCATGGCCCGCAATGCAATCATTTCGTCTTTTGGATTTTTACTCGCGGCCCACCAGTAATTTGGGATGTGAGGCCCAGAAAAACTGTATCGCAGTCATCCCACCATCCAAGAACAATCGGCCCATGAAAACTCAAACTACCTGATTGCCACCAGAGTCTTGTCAGGTTCACCGTCATAGGTATCGTATGGTTAATAAATAATACTTAATCGGAAGAGAAGAGAGTGGTACTAATTTGGAATTTGGAAGCTGCTGCTGGGATTCCACGACGAAGAGAAGAGCAGTTTGAGGAGGGTCCTCAGATTATCAAACTGGTGGTACCACTAGTAGTGAATTTGGCAAATGGGAAAGATTGAAGAAGAGGAAGAAGACAGCAATTTCAATGGCGGGTTGGGCGGCAACGGACAAGATTTTTCAGGAAGCACTCCCACCATATTTCCAGAACTCAAGTATTATTGCTTACAGTTGCTTGAACTCCTCCACAACCCTCACAAGCAGAGGAAGAACAATTCTTCTTCTTCCTCGCCTCCTTGTCAACTCCTCCAGCTTCTTCGTTGCTCCCCTGCATCTTCTCTCCAGCCTTTCTTCGAGTACTCTTTTCTTTTTCCTCTCTCTCTCTGCCCCTTCCACCTTCCATTGCTGTTTGTTTGCGATTACTCAAATTTAATGCAGGAAAAATTTATCACTCTCTGGGCATCAGTTGATTATGACTTTGCGGGATGTAATTCCATAAACAATAGTAGTTTAGTCTCAGAATTTTGTTTTTTCTTTTAAGAAAAAAAAAACACTTTAAAGTTTAAACGGAAAAACACCTTTCTAGGCTAAGATGCTGTGAAATAAAAAAGAAATCTTTAATGTAATTACTACGGGCTAGGCTGCATTTTAATGTCAATATTTTTATCTTTTTTTTTTCAAAACTACATTAACAATGTAGTACGAAAACCGAAATCAATACGACTACAATCCTTTTTAAGGTTTTTGTTTGCTTTGGCATGCTGACTTATGACCCATCTTTCTTGTTTGCAGCTACATATTGTTTCCTTTGCTGCTTCTGTTGGATGCAGCAGTGGGTTGTCGAGCTTTGCCTAAAGGTGATGATCCTGATGGAAGTTCATTCATGTCTGGTGCCCCCAAAGCTCCCCCCCAAGTCAGTGATCATGTAGCTGAAGCTGTGCTTGATTGTCTGGAGGAACTTCTCACTAAATGTGCTTTGGGATCTGTGGATCAGGTGACTTGTTATGCCATTTAAGCAAAACCGAAGCTTTACACTTAGCTGTTCATCATCTCTCTATATTTGTTTCGTGTGTCTTTCAAAACTGTAAACCCTAATCTGCGGATTGCTCAGGGCTTGATGATGATGGCTAGTTTGTCTGCTTTGACGGGATAGAATTAGGATGCTTCTGAATTACACATATCTCTGAATGAGTTATTAACAATTGACTTTATGATTCCCTTCAGCTTATTTTTCCCATTTCCTAGCTCCTTGAATATGACATAATCTGATGGAGTGGTAGCATTTCAGAAGCAGCCTCATTTATGTGCTCTGTTTTGTTCCTTGTACTTTTTTTTTTGGTCAGGCTTCTTCTTCTTTAAAGCATGAAGCTAACAACTGGTTGTGTTCCAAAGAGAATGATTCTCCTCTCACTCAATATTGTACTACCCTTTTCTGTGATGGGATTTGTAGTGCCCCATTTGAGCCTGTCCAAAGGACTGTACAATATTTACCTCACGTACTCATTAGATGCTAAAGATCCCGTCTAAGATTACTCTGGCTTACTACGGGGTAGTATTATTGCAAATGCAGCAGTGCAGTCTGTATGTGAGTGTGCATTCTTCAATTTATTGGTGCTTCTTTTCTGTTCAAGAATTTTTCATGTTCCTTCAAATTTTGAGACATTTCTCTTCAATAATTTACTTTTAAGTCATTGTATTTAAAACATTATTTCCCTCATCTGGATTTCTACACTTACTTTTTCAGATGGTTGTCTTGCTGAAGAAACTGACTAGTGGTGCATTACTTTCTCCATCAGAAGCACCGGAAGAATTCCGTGTTGGCATAATAAAATGTTTCAGAGCCTTGCTACTTTGTCTGGATCCTTGTATTGATGAGTTGTGCCAATGTAAACAAGTTGTTGGTTTGCCTGTACAACTAGTTAGAAAGGATTCTGTCTCAAAACCTGCTTCAGAGGCAGAGCAATGTTTGCTTGCATTTCTCCAATCTGAGTCTGCTTCAGCTGCTGTTGGACATTGGCTATCACTTCTTCTTAAGGTTATTATCTATTTTGCACCTTATTTTAACTAGTTTTACTATATATGCATGTAAATATCTTTTAAATCATTTTGTTGTTGGGAATCAAGGCTGCTGATGTGGAGGCAGCACGAGGGCATCGAGGCAGCGCAACACTTCGCGTGGAAGCTTTCAAAACACTTCGTGTGCTTATTGCTAAGGTCTTTTGTTGTACTTTTTGGCATTTGCATGGTTTCTGTTGCATTAGTTATTAGCTGTCTTTAGTGGAAGGCTTCAGTAATGTTCCTGAAAATTTTACTGGTTAACTGAACAGAGCTACTCAATGGGTTTATTTTTCAAATGTAGCTTGAGATTAGATTAGCTGGAGATCGTATGATCATGAGGTATATACATCAAAATTCAGGAGATCTTCTAGGAAATTGGTTATTCGGTTTACATGATTTGAGAGCTGAGATTCTGTAAAGGCATCTGTCCAGTGATATTGGCTCATTTAACAACCTTGTATTGATCAATCTTATGTGGTCTCTTGCAGGTTGGTAATGCTGATGCATTGGCTTTCTTTTTACCAGGTGTCATTAGTCAGATTGGCAAAGTTCTGCATATGTCCAAAACAATGGTTAGTGGGGCTGCAGGAAATACTGAAGCTTTAGACCAAGCAATCCGGAGTTTGGCAGAATTTCTTTCAATTGTTCTGAAGGATGATCAAAATCTTCCTAGTCTTAGTCAATTTCTGAATGATAGTATTGTCCATCACATAAGCAAGGAGAAGCCCCTTGTTTCCTTTCTGGATGAACTTCGTCACCTGGCTTCAAAGACTCAAGATCAGGGTGAAGTTGTGGTTCACAATGTGAGCGAAGCTGTTCAAAAGAGTACATCAATGCCTGACATCAGAAAGAGTGTGAGTGTGAATCCTGAAGGAATGAGAGGGGCTTTTCGTGTTGAACGTTCAAAGGATTGGATCATCAATGCTTCAGCTCACATAAATAAAATCTTGTCTAAAACTTTTCCCCATGTAGGTGTGGATATATATATATATATATATATATATAATCTACATATATTTTATCTTTTAGGTCACGATTTGGTGCAATTTTTTCCCCTCACATTGTATAACTAAGTTGTTCCATATTCTTCAGCTTTCTTGTCATCCATCGAAGAAGGTGAGACTGGGAATTTTAGCAGCCATGCAGACACTTTTATTAAGTTGCAGTTACACATTAAGAGGAAGCAGATTGTTGCTTTTGGTGAGTTGGAAGCAAATTAAGCTTAGTCAGTATGGCTCTTATGTGAGTTTTGTTATATATTACTAGTGGGCATTAGGCTTTGACTGACACTTCACTATTAATAATGCAGGAATGCATTTGTGTTCTTGTTTGTGACGACTCTGAGGAAGTATCCTCTGCCGCACAGGCGTTCTTTGGATATTTGTTTTCATCAAATAGGGAACATCTGGAACATGATTTTGATGCCATCTTCAGCAGGTTCATTGTACTTCTCAGGAACAAATTATTCTGAAATCGCATCCTTGTTTTCGGAAATATGATATGCTACTTGGTTTGAAATCTATTCAGGCTCATTGACAAGATTCCACATGCAGTGTTGGGAAACAATGAGTCAATGGCTCTATCACATGCCCGGAAGTTACTTGTAGTGATATATTTCTCAGGTCCACGATTTGTGGCCATCCACCTACTTCAGTCTTCTGTACGTGGGATCCAGTTTTCTTTTCTCATTTTACACTTCTTGAGGGCCTTTCTATTAGATAAGGGTTAGAGAAACTAGTTTTTCAAATAAAATTTTTAAAAAGTACTCTAAAAGGTGCTCTAAAAAGAGTAATTTTTTTTTTATGTTTAAAAATATCCCAAAATATATTTTAAAAACTCTACTACTGTTAAATATTTCAAAATATTTTCTAAAAATATCCCAAAATATACTCTAAAAACTCTGCTACAGTAAAATTTTTGAAAAACACCCCTAAAAACAGCTAATCCAAATGGAGCCCTAGTTTTGGACCTCCCTTGCATCATGGGCATTTCTATTAGACGAGTTAGAAAACCTAGTTTTTATGTCCCTTAGATTGGCAGATCATCAATTCCTTGACGTAGTTGTGACCTCTTTTAACTTAATTTTTAGTTCATAAAGGGAATAACACATCAGTTCTATTGCATGTATTACTTTTGCTTGTCCTGTTGCAAATTGTTCAATGGGCTTCCATTTATTTGTTTATTTTATGGATAAAAGTCAGCATTATTGTCTTCTGATGGGTTTTCAGGTGACTGCTGCTCGATTCTTGGATATTTTTGCCCTCTGCCTGAGTCCAAATACCACATTTTCCGGCTCACTTGACAAGCTTGTTGCAGCAAAACCACCTTCAGCAGGGTATATGCATTCGATTGCAGAGATGAAATCTATGAGGAATGCTGGTTCTGAAGGTTTCGAGTCCACTGAAACCACCAAAGTACCTTACCCACCAAAAAATGTGTCAAATGCGTATGTGCTGCCAGGCTTGCCACCTTGGTTCGCTTATATAAGTGGTCAGAAGCTGTATAAGGCGCTTGCAGCAGTTCTTAGACTTGTGGGATTATCATTGTTTACAGGTTGATTTTGTTTCATGAACTATTTGTTTGTTCTTTGTTGCTTTGGTTGTGATTTATACTTAAGCCTGGTTATCTTCTTTTCTTTTGACTAGACTCCCAAAATGAAGGATCTCTCTCTGTCACGATTGATATTCCCCTTGGTTACTTGCGTAAATTGATTTCTGAGATTCGGACTAGGGAATGCAGTATGGAAAGCTGGGAGTCTTGGTATAATAGAACGGGATCAGGACAGCTGGTGCGACAGGCTAGTACTGCTGTATGCATTCTAAATGAAATGATTTATGGTCTTTCAGATCAAGCAATAAGTAGCTTTGGAAGAATGTTTCAGCACTCCAATTTGAAATGGCAAGAGATTGAGGAATGTGATGCAAATGGTTATGCTCAGCCGTGCAAGTGTGATCAACCTGTGCCAGATAACAACCTTTGGCATGTTTGTAACCATAGCAGGGCTAGGAATAACTTAATTCACAGTATTGGGAGTGTATTACATGAATATCTTTCTCCTGAAGTGTGGACTCTCCCACTTGATCATACAGATTCTAGTCTACAGTCTTATAGTGGCGGCAGAGCTTTAGCTTTGCATTTCTTCAATGATAATGCTGTGCTTCACCAGGAAATATATCTCTTCTTCTTAAGATTTTTTTTTTAAACAATATCACTACAAGTTGTTGGACCTCTATTATCAATGTTGATTTGAATTTATTATTTCTTAAACAGGTTATCATTGAAGGAATTGGTGTCCTCACAATGTGCCTTGGGAAAGAATTTTCTTCTTCTGGGTTTCTTCACTCCTCTCTCTTTATGTTGCTGGAGAATCTTATATGCTCTAATTTTGAAGTTAAAAGTGCATCTGATGCTGTCTTACACATTATGGCTGCTACACTTGATTACCCAACGGTAGGGGTTGCATTTCTTGAGAATTGGTGGATTTTGTTGTTAGTTACATTAAGTTTTTAAATATGTTGTAGGTGGGCCATTTAGTTCTGGCAAATTCAGACTATGTAATAGACTCAATATGCCGGCAACTGCGTCATTTGGATCTTAATCCTCACATGCCAAACGTACTTGCTGCAATTCTTTCCTATATCGGAGTAGCTCATAAAATACTACCGTTGTTGGAGGAGCCGGTATGGGTTCACTTTTCCAGTTTCAACATATTGCAGCAGAAAAGCTTTTTTTTTTTTTTAATGTTTGACAGTACTTGCCTGCCTCTCCATATCAATTGTTATCATTACTCAAACTGCTCCACCTAGGGTCTGACGTGGTGAACAATTTACAGATGCGCGCTGTTTCTTTGGAACTTGAAATTCTTGGCAGACACCAGCACCCAGATTTGACTGTTCCCTTCTTAAAGGTAATCTCTGTGTACTCATCCATGACTTTCTGCATCCACACAGCATCATAATTGTTGTTCCCTCTACATATCATAGATGGTCATAGGACAAAGCTTTTTCATGGAAATTGCTGGAGCCTGTTATGACTGTTTGATTGCTTCATTTTTTAATCTACATGGAGAATAGATTGGTTTAATGATCTTGTTTTTCTTTTCCTTTTGCGAAACTTTTTCAGGCAGTGGCAGAAATAGGTAAGGCTTCAAAACAGGAGGCCTGTACTCTGCCAAATCAAGCAGAAGCATTATACAAGGATATCAAATCCAACATTTTAGATTTAGAGAAGAGAAAAGGGAATGAGTTTTGTTCTTCAAGATCATCCATTGAAGTTGATGCAACTGTGGAATTCCCAGAATCTGGTTAGTACCTCTGAAAGTTTTGTGAAAAATGCTTGATTTGTAAACATACATACTTCTGAGAACAGTTGCATTTCCAGGATCTGGTTAGTATGTAACGGTATATACTTTTGAGTTTTCAAATTGAAAATAATTGCTGTTATTAACTCATTGTACATTCTTCTAGATTTAAATACTTGTGACAAACTAGTTGTGTGATTAGTTCATGAATATCGTCTTTGTTTTGAAGTTTGTTTCTGTGCGTTATTGCTAATTGGTGTCTTTATGATTTTAGCATGCTTACACAATAGATGCATTTTCCCTTTTTTCTTTACTTGTAATTTCATCTCTTTTTTAACCCTAAGGAAGATACTCTTAGGATTGCTGGGGGATGAATTTCTATGTTGTGCCAGTAGGTAGCTCTTCAAAATGTCATTTTTTACAACAAAACAATGGCCTTCTTGTTTGTAACATGTGTAAATTGTAAGTGACATCTGTTCTTACTTTTTTTTTATAATGTAGATGGTCACCTATGACAGAATGAATGCCCTTAAATATTTTGACATCTTGATATTTTTTGGGAAACAGAGGTGGGTATCTGTTACAATCATGACAGTAGACAGATACAGCATTGGGAATCAGTTCTGTTCAAATTGAATGATTCTAGAAGATGTAGGAGTATAGTTGGATCAATTGCTGGTTCTTGTCTAATTGCTGCTGCTCCTCTTCTCGCTTCATCTATGCTAGCAGCTTGCTTGATAGCTCTTGATGTAATTGAGGTATGGAATTTTCTCTATAGTATCTAATTTTCTCAGTATTTCGTTAACTGCATTGATCAGAAATCTTTGTTTGAACCTTGAGGAGGTTGCTTTTGCCTTCTTAGCAGACTTGCTAGACAGAGTATTGCTTCTGCAGTTTCCAGATCAATACTACTATTAGCATCTTTCTTCTACGTATTAATGGTACCAAGCACTTATTGTTTTGTAAAATGAGTTTTCTGTCATGTGCCAGATAAGAGAGACTTTCTAATAGGTTTTTGAGCATTATTAGTTTTTATTCAGTTGCCTGCAACACTTTCTTGAAATAGCTCACTGTAAAGATTCAGCTGGTGGTGGGAGTTAAGAGAGAATTGAAAAGAAAGGAAGAGAGAAGTGGATAGGGAGAGAAGAAGGAGATGAAGCAGATTGCAGGAGGAAGAAAGAGAATGTTGTATTAGACAGAAATGAGAAGTGGCATGTACATTCACCTTGTTCTTTCCACTCGTCCCCACTAGCTATTTTAACTAGCTCTATATAACTGACAAATGGATTGTGTAACTAATTTACAGTTATTCAATTAGAATTAAATTCACCTATTCCAATTGTACCCTTGTAGTACTAGATTTATTACACACACCCAATTTGGAAACATTCTGGATTGCTGTTCTTAAAACGTCTAATATTAGAGAAATCTTTCATCTTAAGTTGGTCTGAAATGATCTCTCATCTAGTTGCCCCAGCTAGGGTCATTGTAGAGCAATATTATCTCCCTTTTAAGTCTTATCTATAGCTGCTGCATTTTAGATGCCCAATAAACCACCACTGAATTGAAAATACCAGATGAAAGGATGACTTTTAACAATTGTATCTATGATGTATAAGAAATGTATAGATAGCATAATAGATTTATTTTGAGGTTTGGTTAACATTATGAGTTCTCGCTTTATATTGCTCTTCTTCTCCTTCTTCTTCGTTTTTAAATTTATTTAGGATGCCATTGAGACACTTGCCAAGGTGGAAGATGCCTACAAGCTTGAGAAGAAAGCTAAAGCAGCACTTCATCAAATCTTCGACTTGTATTCACTTCATAACCTTCGAGATGCACTAGATGCAGCTGAGGATGAAGCTGGAGAGAACAGATTGCTTCCTGCAATGAACAAAATTTGGCCTTTCTTGATTGCTTGTGTTCGAAATAAGAATCCAGTGGTGAGTGTTCCATAACTTTCAGTAGGTTTGTTGCCAAAAGTGTGATATAACTTCTTTCTATCTTTGAAGTCTTCTTAGTCCGTTGTTGCCAACATTGTGGTGTATACTGCATTTAAACAATAGTGGCCAAGCAGCCTAGTATGGTGGATTGTTTACATGATATCAACAATTAAGTGTGTGTTCATGTCCAGGTTAGATATGTGATCAGGGATTTTAGATGTCCACATAGCTGTTACACTAAACAGCATTCAGTGAGCGAGGTTGGGTTCTTGGAAATCTGCTTGATCCATGTATGAATGAGTAGACTCTTTCTAAAAGTATTAATGTAAACCTACATTAATCAACATTTACTAGGCATTTCTGCTGTAAGCTTTGATGAGAACAAAAACTCATGATTCTTCTTTGGTGTTCTCATGTACCTTTGGCTATAGCTGGTGATGTTAGGTGCCTGATTTGGCAATACACCAACTTAGTGGCTGACTTAAGGTTGATTTGAAGATCAGAATTCTTCGATTGGTTATCTCTGATCAGTCTTCATAGGATATGGTTAAGTTGGTGTTGCTTGTTGACACCTTCAAATTGGTTTTGCACTAATTGTTTTTATCTTCATTTGCACTTCTGCATGTGTCTCAGATTTTGACTTCTCAATTTGGTTATTCCCGTAGGCTGTCCAAAGGTGTTCATGTACAATTAGCAACATGGTGCAAATCTGTGGAGGAGATTTCTTTTCTCGGCGTTTTCACACCAATGGGATCCACTTGTGGAAACTTCTAGGCTCATCCCCATATGAGAAAAAGCCCATTTCAAGAGAGGATAGAACTCCTTTGCAGCTTCCTTATGGGAGCGTTTCCTTCTCTTCTGAGGGCAGTGTAGCCGAGCTATCTGACCTAAAAGTTCAGGCAGCGGTGCTCAACATGATTGCTGATATAGCTAAGAATAAAAGGAGCGCTTCGGCTTTAGAGGCAGTCCTGAAGAAGGTTAGTGGTCTTGTAGTAGGAATAGCTTGTAGCGGTGTTATGGGTCTTCGAGACGCGGCTATAAATGCTCTTGTGGGTCTCGCATCCATAGACCCCGATCTTGTTTGGCTTCTAGTAGCTGATATATACTTGTCGCTAAAGAAAAAAGATGTTCTTTCACCACCGGGCAACGAGTTTCCAGAAGTATCTCAGATCCTGCCTCCACCTTCATCGTCTAAAGGGTACCTCTACTTTGAATATGGAGGGCAGAGTTATGGGTTTGACATTGATTTTTCAGCTGTGGAGCATGTGTTTAAATTGCTGGATGGGCAATATTGTACATGACATGGGTTGTATAATGTACAGAACTGTTTTAGCTGAATGGGGAAGGAGGAGGGTTAGTATGGTCAAACAGTGTATATACTTGATCCAAACTTTTTATGTCCGGTATCCTAGCCGAGACAAAGGCCCTCTGTTAGTTTGGGGTTAAGAGTCTGTGGAGACCTTGTACTATAAAATGGAGGGAATGAAGCTTTGAAAAGTTGGATCCAATCTTTCAGATGTAGTAGTTCTGTAGTCCAATGAATCATCCTATCAATCTGGAGGTAGCAAATTATTGATAACATTTTGCGTACTTGGTATTCCTTTGGTAGCCAGTCAATAGTGCTGCATTGTGTCCCGGTATCACGCAAAAATATCGGGTTCTATTTCTAATCAGTTGAACAAAGAACAAGGCCGCCTTTGACTACAATTCGTTGGCCTTGATAGGGTGGGACAGAACAGAACTCAATGGGGGCGACTGAAAAACTCGGGATTGATTAAGCTGCAAAAAGCCAAAGTGGAACTGCATGCGTACTTTAAGTTTGAGCTAACACGCCCAATGAGCCAAGGTTGTTGCACTAAATTGTGACAAAACTAAAGAGTGGTTTTTTTTTTTTTTAAATTTGGTTGAGGGAACTAAAGAGTGATTCAATAGTGTCAAATATATTTTACCTTTTCATTTTATAAACATTACTGTAAAACTCCCATCTTTAGTACTATTAGTGACGAGTTATTCACGAGTAGCTCTGTCTAAGTTCGGTGTTAATCAAACTCGAGTCAAGCTCAAGCTATTCGAATGGACAAACAAGTAGAATTCGAGCTCCTTAGCTTCAGGTTCGAGTGCTTGACGAGTCTATTCAAGTGTTTAATTTTTTTATTTATTTTCATTATATTTATTATGAATTTACATTTTTAGATTTACAAACTATGGAATTTATGATATAGAATTCTCAAGGGTTACAAAAATTCATAAAAAAAAACCTAATCCAAAAAAAATTTTGGCCCAATTCATTCATACAACGAAGCAAGGTTCTTTGACATTTGCCAAAATTTGAAAACTTAGCTCCTCTGTCATCAGTAATTAGTTCTCATCAATTACCAATTTCAGTAATCAGTTGACATCTCCTATAATCAATTTTAGTAATCAGTTGATATTAATTTTAAAAATTTTGGAGTATTCTAGAGAATTATTGTAGATAAAGTTGAAAAAAGAAACTTATCTATTAAAAACATGCCAAAAACTTACCAAGTTAACAAATGAATGTAGCTAAAACAAAAGGCATGCAAACGATCAAGTATAGGTCCAACCAAACCCACGTTTGAACAGTTTGAATGTGAGGATTCTTTTAGCAGGTTGGGTATGATGATTGAGAGAGCGAGAAAGAGTCGAATCTTTACCATTGGAAATGAAGTTAAGAAAAAACTCAACTATCCCTTTTTTTTTTTTTTTTGTCGATACAGGGGTGTTTGGGTCAATCCTTACGGGGCCCGACTAATCCCCTGCGCCTCGGGCCCGGCGCCCCAACTCGGCCCGAACACGTTAATCCCTACCATAGGTAATTGATGAGTGTTCTAGCTCCGATCCCAATGGATTGGACCTTTGATCAAATTGCACCCTTAGATCGGCTGACTAGTTTTAAGGAAGGGTTTTACTTTGACCTTAAGAGTGCCATTGATAGATAAATTCTTCTAAACCTGCACACTATGACTAGCAATGCAGTAGAAGAAATTTCCAACATCTCATAGAAAAAGGTATAAATAAGCAACTGCAAGTTTAGAAATTCATTTCTTCCAATTGAACTTTCTCGAACTATTTCTTTTTAAGAATCAAAAAAATTTATGCCAAAATAATATATGTCAAGAAGAACAAAAAGCCTTGAGTCATTAGTTGTGGCTAATTTAGTCGCTCAACTATATATTTGTAGTCAATCTAATTCTTTTTTTTGGCTGAGTCAAATGATACAAGATTCTTCATTAAAGACTCGAAGAACAGAGGGGCAAAAATAGAACCCCACTATCCAGGCCTCATTAAAAATTATTTAGGAACAGAATTCATGTTTAGGAAACAATTTTCTAGTATGTATAGTTCTTATGCTCCAAATTTCATCCTTCCAAGAAAACTTTGTGCACAAAGCTCAGAAAATTATTGTTCAAAATATGACAACAATATCAGAAACTTCTATAATCAATCTAATTAATATTACATCCATCTTATCAAATTTGAATTCTTAACATAAGGAACAAGTTATAACCAAGTATATCTACTTTCTCACACAATCACCATTCTTGTGAAACCAATACTACCCCCAAAACTATGACCTTTCATTTATATTGTGAATCCCTAGATGCAAAAAGAATTTCATATGCTTTTATAAGGCATGGTTGATCAACCATGTAGCAAGTGATAAACCCCAACTTAGAAGCATAATAGCCAGCATTAGCCTTGATTTTGCCATAGTCTTTTAAACTTCTTTAAAAAGCTAGCTTTTCATTATTTTTAGCCAAAATTGTGTTTTGTGCACTTTCTCCATGTTCTTGCTTCTCAGTAAACCGTGAATAGCAGTAGTTGCTTTCCTACGTATTGGTGAACTGTGCTACTTGAGTTGAAGAAACCACAATCATAGCTAGTTTTTATTCAATAAAAAATTTTACAAATTATATTGCAAACCACAATGACAAGAGAAATATTCAAAACAACTACTCTGTAATTTTCGCAATGATGAAATCTCTGTGCTAGATTGGCATTCTTTCATGAAGTTCTTATCTTCGTTACCTCGCCACACTTACAATATATAATAGGATTAAAAACAAAAAAGTCCCATGTGGTATACCTAATACACAAAAAAGCCTTCCATGGTTTCAAAACATACAAAACGACATTTCATGTTTTGAACTAAATTGTAAACTAACAGAATTCGTTAAAGTTAACGAAAATGACGGTTTCTGCTGTTAACTTACCGGATTCCATTAAGTTTACCGTTAAATTTAACGGATTCTGTTAAATTTTCCGTTAAATTTACCGGATTTCGTTAAGTTTAACAAATTTTGTTAGTTTATAATTTAGTTCAAAACATGAGGTGTCGTTTTATATATTTTGAAATCATGGGGGACTTTTTTGTATATTAGATATACCACAGAGGATTTTTTTGCTTTTAACCCTATATAATAATATATAAATTGGTTTGGCATCATCTTGTTGTAACGAACTCCCAACCCGATTATATTGGTCCTTCTGGGGTTGTTTGGTAAAATTCAATGGGATCTGAAATTTTGGGTTTAGGTTTTGCTTGAGAAACCTATTTTCATTCCCATAAATTTGGATTTGTTCATATTTCACCAATGATAAAGTGTTTTTAATGATTTTAATGTGGGTTGGAGTGTAAGGTTTCTTTTGACCTCCTCTATTCACAGGGTTTGTAGTGGAGATTTTTGTATCATTTGTGGTTTAGCCAAAAAATAATAAAAAAAGAAGAGAAATCAAGATTGGCTTATGTGAATATATAGTTTGAGGGATTAAATTGGGCAGACATCAAATTTCAGGGACTATTTGGGCTTCTAATAAGTAGTTTAGGGATCGATCTGGTCACTTCGTCTACCTAATAACATGCAAAACAAAACGACTTAAAAAAAAAAAGAAAAAAAGTTATCATGTCAAGTCGACAGTAAAAAAAAGAAATTCAAGTCCACAGTAGCCAGGAAAGAAAGAGAGGTGAGAGTCCATGCATTAGTGAGAATGCGACATGGCATGCAGGCAAAAGGTCTAATGGCCACTCCCGTCAATTTGTCTTGGCAATCCAACCTCTCTTCCACTACTACTACTACAACTACTTACTACTAATGTTTTAAAACTCAGATCGGAAAGTGAATCGAAAAACTTTTCGATTTGCTATTCACCAATTCAATCGATTCAATCTCGATTCAAAGTTTAAATTTTTTAATTTATTTTAAGGTTAAAAATTTTGAATAAAACTAAACTATTTGTTTTAGAAAATAAAAATTTAATAAAAATCGGTAGAACCTCCCAATTTTTACTGATTTTTGATCGGTTCAATAGATTTTTTGAGTTACTCATTAAACCAGACGGATGCATGGTTGGTTCATAATTCGACTGTTCGAACTAGTCGATTCGATTCGATTTTTAAAACACTGCTTACTACGAACTCTTAGTAAGAGGAAACACTTTCATTTAGATGAGATTTTATTAGAAAAACAAATAGCATGGTAGCAACTTACATTCAATTGATTGAATTACAATTGATTCTAACTCATTTTTCCAGTAAAAGAAATATACACAAACCACCTAATTTACCGTAGATTCTATGTTTAGATGATCTATAGAGGTTTGCCTACATAAAGGTGTCCAAAGGTATGCACAAAGATGTAACAAAGTCCTTTTTGGCTAAGAACTACAGGGGAGTGAACAATGCTGTAGGCGATTTCTTTCTTGTTGTAATTAAATCATCCAACAAATTCACTCCCTAATAGAAAATTAGAAATTGGAATTGTTAATGCAAATAATATTAGAATTAATTAGGATCACAAATTAAGATATTATCTTGTATTATTAGCATCAATTAGGATGACAATTAGGATAAATTAAAATCACAATTAGAGACTTACCTTGTATAATATTAGTCTAAATTCATTCTGTATCAACTTTTTCTTCGATTGAGTGCCATGAAACAACAGTCTGATCAATCTATTTAGGATATCTACTGTGACATGGTTTATTTTTTGGATGAGATTGTTGAATCAGAACCCTGATAGAACTACCCCAGTGAAGTAGAAAAATTCTATGCTTACCATGATTCTTATCGCCTTATTCTGTTTCGCATGGTCTTACTTGACGAGGTTGACTCCACTCGGACTGCTATTCTCAATAGAAAGCTATTACCTTCCCTTGATGCTGCTCTTAAGGACATGATATCTTAAGAAACTCGAAGGCAAATAATCTCTTCTCGCTCTGCTAATATGATTCTTACCACTGCTCGTCAGACTTATTCGACATCTCGACCACCTATATCTTTCGCTTCAAAATCAACTATTAAGTGTAGGTATTATCAACATTTAGTTCATTTTATTTCTGAATGCCACAAACTTCAGTTTAGAAAGAGAGGTCGAGGACAACGTACTTGACACTCTTCTCCTCACACTATGGCTGCTACTAATAAAACCTACTTTCCTATTGAATCTACTGCTACCACACTTTCTGGATTTGTATCTCCTACTGCTTCTTCCGCTCCTTTTGTAGCTGATTTAGAGGTCATTATTTCTCAAGCTCTTGCTCACACTGCTCAACTTTCTGCAAGTGCT